CTGAAGATCGCTGAGGACATAAGGAGTGATGCTACCAGGACCCTTGACATGTTGCATCAGCAAGGTGAGCAAATTGAGAGGACCCACAGGATGGCTGCTGATATGGATAAAGATCTAAGTAAGGTAGGCTTTTTACTAGTTTTCTATAGACACATTTATCCTGAAATGATTAATTGACCCATGTTGTTTTGATTTATTTAAAAAGAGAATCAGATTATTCAAAATTTGAAAGTGAACGGTACTTTGCTTGCATGTTACTGAAGCAAATATGGTTGCCTCGATAAGATATTCCTTTCATTCTTCCTCTATGGTATTTATGAAATCTGGTTCTTTCCGGGTTATAGTTGACGGATCTGATATCCTAGCCAGAAACTGAATGAAGTGATTTTGTCTTACTTTTACTTTTTGCTTTTGTACGAGTTCTTTCCATTTGTTAATAGTTTCCTTTTCATTACTGTTAATTGTAGGGAGAGAAACTTCTGAATAATCTTGGAGGCATGTTTTCTAAGCCATGGAAGCCAAAGAAAACCAAAGAAATTACAGGCCCTCTCATAACAGCAGGTTATATTTTCATTGGTTCTTCTAACACTGTCATTCCTATAACTTATTGCTTCTCCCATTTTATCCGCTATTGATTATGTCCATATTGGCCGTCCAGATAATTCATCTGGGAGAACTGAAAACAACAAGGAGGAAAGGGAAAAACTGGGTTTATCTACAGGTAAAAAGCAGTCGGCTACTCGAACACCGCCTTCTGAATCATCTGGCGCAATGCAAAAAGTCGAGGTGAGAGCACCGACTGTTATCATTTCACTTAGGATTATAGGCATTATTATGGTTTCAGATTTAAACAATGGGTAAGAATGTTTTTTCAGGATGAGAAGGAAAAGCAAGATGATGCACTCTCAGATTTAAGTAATATCTTGGGTGATCTGAAGAATATGGCTGTGGACATGGGAAGCGAGCTTGACAGGTATGCCATTCTTTTACTCAATTTAGAGATTGCTGTATTATTACATAGTTCTGAATGAATATTTTCTGGAAAATGCAGGCAAAACAAAGCTTTGGATCATCTAAGCGACGATGTCGACGAGCTGAATTCTAGAGTGAAAGGTGCCAATCAACGAGCTCGCCGTTTGCTTGGGTAGTAAAATCAGACACTCTAATTCTTCCCTTCTCTTTGTTTCTAGCTGGAATCATTTCGTTCAAACATTCTTTAATTGTTGGTGTACTTCTGTTCTTTTCTCATGTGATTTTTTAGTTCATAATAAGTACATTGCTTCTATTATTTCAAGGAAAAAGCCTGTTCCTTCATCTTGTTGAAGATAGATAGCAGCCATGAATTTAGACAATAAGAGTTAGATACCATTTTCCTTTCTTTTTTACGTGAACTGTCTAAAAATGGAAGATAAAAAAACTACAGTAAAAAAGATAAAAAGGTAAGATAAACTCAGAAGGGGCTTTTACATACATTATGTTTCCATAGATTCAGACAGTACACAGCCTATACAGCAAAATTACATTAATTCCATAAACAGTAAAAGACATATGAAAGTTCCATAGTACCCCTCCAAAGAAAGAAAACCTCATGAATCCTGCCATGTCGGCAATCTGTACCTTATACCTCCAAAATTAATGAAACTCATGGGTTTCTTTTGAATCTTACCTCCGGACCCGACCACCTATGAACTTGTCTTCTTTTTCTTTAATACTAAAAAAAGGAGCCCAAATCTTAAAAGTAAATACCTTGTCATTTCCATGCTTGTTTTTGCCACTTTTCCACATCAAAATGAACTCGAACACACCAAAACTCGGAACACTTGGACGCAAAAACAAGAATGGAAATAGCAACAATAACCTGAACGAACCAAGAAAGAAAGAAAGAAAGAAAACAAGACAATACGACATTGAACAAAAACTCGTCCACTAATTAGCATAGTCTTCTTCTGACTTCGTCGATCACGTACGAGGATTATATATTCTTCTTGATTCTTAACTAATAGGACTCAAGAAGAAAAGGGTGGATGATATATGTTGTACTGGAATAGCGAGAAAACTGAGAAGAGAAATGGCTGTCTTGGTAAAGAAAGATTCTTTTTGCTCTTTCTTTGCTCTCTCTTTCTCTCTTGTTTCAGTTGTGAAGAGGGTTTGGCCCGGATGGCACGAGTCTATTCTCGACGCCATATCGAGGGTCAATTTGATTGTGTGTCAGCAATGGCAGCGGCAGCGGTGGAAGGTAGACAGGGAGGCGATGTTGGTAAACTCTATGAAGGTGAATACACAAAGAACGTGAGTTTTCGCGAGTAAGAGCATCACAAGGATGAAGCTGTTGTTTGTGGCGAGGCGGGTGGTGGCGAGGGATGATCGGAGATGCTTCTGGCACGGAGGTGGAAGGTGGATGATTGGAGAGTCTAGTGGCCGTGGAAGACGAGACGAAGAGGAATAAAACTATCAAGATCATCATGATGAGCTGCCCATTGGTGGCAAAAGATGAAGAGGGGGAAAGAGAGGCTTTCATTTTGAGTTTCAGATACAGAGAGATAAGGACGGGGGGAAGAAAGGAGATGAAGAAAGGAGAAGAGATGGTGAAAGTGAAAGGGAAGAAGTTTAAATGCAGAGCAAGAGACTCATGAGGGGGGGAAATATTATTATGGCCTTGTTGACAGAAGGGACTGGCTTGAGGGACCTGTCCATTGGCCAAGGGTATAGTTGGCAATCATTTTCACTCTTCATTCAATTTTTTGCTCTCACTTTCATCATGTACGTTAAACATCATCGGTTGATCATTCGCATCTTTAATTCAACGGTTCAGATCATCTTTATTTTTTCAATATTTATTAACCCATGCAAATATTGCCTAATTTTTATTCAAACTCTCATTAATGAAAGAAATAATATATAATAAAAATTTTGAGGCGGGTTGGTTCGCGGTTGTCAATTGTATTAAAAGAAACACGAGCGAAATGCAGCTTCTAACAAGTTTCTAATCAAAATGACTTAATGAGTAAACGTAGAAATGCCGAGCATATATCCATTTACACACTAACACACACGAACTCCTTTTGTTTGAGAGAGAATAGTTTTGGTTGAGAGAAATCCCAATTCCATGTATCCAATCAAGTGAGCCACGCCGTGAGACGATTAGGTTCGTTTGTGACACTTCAATACAACTCCTAGCACAGAAAGTACTCTAAGAGGCTCGGGAGAGAGAGGGGGCCCATTCGAAAAAAATTATGAATAAAAAGTAGCACGTGACATGGCAATAAGCAGTAAGTGGGCCTAATCTTTGCCCCGTCTCCGCCTTCTTCAATGTCCAAGTTTCAGAAAGAGTATCTAATCACTAAATATTATCTTCCTTCAACAACGATTTAAGGAGAAAGTGATAAAGAACGAAGGGAGAAATTAGTGAATGGTAGTTAGTTTAAATTGAAATCACGAGTGGATTAATGGGCTTTTTAGTCATTTTACCTACAATGAAATGAGTTTGTAATATTAGAAATATCTTATTACATTTTTAGATCTATTTAATTGCTTAAATATAATAAAATAAATTTAATATAGTAATTTTGAACCAACCTTAGAGATTACACGAGCATTAAACTAGTAAAATAAAATTAATTTGAAACTGGTAGATGATCAAATAATAAAGATATTATTAGATATTGTTCAAGCACTTTATCAAGGGTTGTTATAGTATGTGGTAAGTATCCTTGCATGTCATGTGGGTGACCTGGGGTCGATCCCTAGCAATGGCATCAAAGTTGGCGTCAAAAGCTAAGATAATCATTGTGTTCTAAGAATTCAATATTCAACAGATTCTCATGCCTTTTTTTGAATAGTGTGGTAAGTATTCCTGCCTGTTATGCGGGTGACTTGGGTTCAATTCCCGGTAACGGCGTCGAAAGCTAAGATGATCATTGTTCAAGAATCCAATATGTCTTTTTTTCATCTCGTTCAACAGATTCTCATGCCTTTTTTTAACGTCGTACGATAAATGCAAGTATTCGCGCCTGTTACACAGGTGATCCCGATTTTATCGTCGACAAGAGCGTCGAAAACTATATCCATTAAAAACGAGTTTTTAAGTATCATAAAAATATGTGTTGATTTTTTAAAACTTAACAAATTGTTTGCTAGTGGGTTTCAGAAACTTTTAACAAATTCCCAAACGATTTATTGAGGGTTGTTGTAGTACAGTGGTAAGTATTCCTGCCTGTCACCCGGGTGACTTGGGTTCCATCCCCAACAATGGCGCCCGCCGAAAGCTGTGATGATCCCTTATTAAGGTCATTAAAACATGATAATGCAATATATAAATTATCTATTTTTTTTATTTCAAATTTGATTATTTATATTTCATATATGATAATAGTAACAATAATTAATGAGGTTAAGCAAGTTAATCCACGGATTAATATCGGCCTTTCCGAGTTTCCTGAAGGAGCGAACTCGAGAGAACAGAATTCGTAGTGAAAAAAAAAAAAAAAAAAAAAAAA